CCTGATTCATGTTCACCAATGTTGTTAAACATTATTTACTATTTATAAGTGGTGACTAATTTGTTTTAGTATTTTATCCGACATGTTTGAAAGCAGTAACAGTTGAACTAATGCTGTCTTTATTGGAGTCTAAAGGCTGTCGGTTGGAGTTGCTTTTAAGCATTACATTAATGGTATCAGATATCAAAGAATGGATAGTTCGCCGTTCTCTAGCATATCTATCGTATGCTCAAAAGGTCACGAACCGAATTAATAGAGTCCTAAAGAGACATGATATCAGAATCATCTTCAAACCTACGAATAAGATCTAGCAGACCAACAGATCAGCTGAGGACAAAAGGGATCCGCATACCCTGTTGCTGTGGAAAGGTCTACATAGGAACCGCTAAGAGATCGATGACAATGAGAGACAAGGAGTACAAAGTCAGCTGCCGGCTACGACACTTTGAAAAGTTGATTGTGACTGAACACGCATTGAGCAACGGTGACCACAAAATATTCTTTAAGAACCACAAATAGCTAGCTTCGTCAACGACTATCACAGCAGGATGTTCAGAGGTGCCATCGATATCCAAAAACATGAAGGAAGAGACTCACAATGGACTATATCTGGAACTAGATCCTCAGAAACACTTGAACGGTAGCGACCGGCCACGGTAGACTGATGCAGAACAAGCCCCCCCCCCCTAATAAATACAATCTGTACAGGAGAAGTCTTTTGAAGATTTCCTATCCTTGAGAATAATCTAAACAAAAAAAAAAAAGAAGTCCTCATTCCATATCCAGCATCGGAGATGGAAGCACATCTGAAGAAGCTCGCCATTCGTGCTAGCGAAACCTTAGGAGCCAACTTACGATATTTAAACCCGAATTAGGACTCCATTAGTTCATCTATTCACCCCAAAAGTCTTTACCAATTTGGTAAAATAATTATTTTATAATTTTAATACTTACAGCTAAATTGTCACATATGTATTGCATAAGAAGAATGGTAGCTTGTTTGGTTTGCTGCACTTCCCACTCAACTCCTTTGACCATAACCGATGTTGCGTGCAGTTTTGGGCGTGTTCGAAACATGACTTGAACATTGTATTGTTTTTGTATTTCCACAACGTATGAAGTATTGGCGTCCGGAGAGACTGGCATTATTGGCAGTTCAAAGCTGAATATTAAAGGCGTCAAATTCTAAAAGAAAAAACAGAAAAACAAACCTAAGTCACGAAGAAATGGAAGCTATCCTTCAAAGAAACATACATTCGTTCTGTTAATTATGAGTAAATAATTAATTTGTCAAGTAAAAAGGAAGGTAATTGTTGCGGTTAGTAGTAGGTCTACTGGAAAGTAAAGTAGAATGACACATTTAAAATAATTTTTGAAGGGTTAATTTCAATACATTAATCTTTGAATTAATTATTACCACTACATACAACTTTAAATTAATTAAAAAAATTGTTGCTGCTGTAACGCCCTCGCCGGAAATCGAACCCGGGCTCTTTGGCTTTACGCGCCAATGCTTTGACCACTAAGCTACGAGAGATGACAGCAGCAACAATATCGACGATTGATACTAGCTAATTTTTAGTAAATGTCTCTTTGTTAATAAGTAATGATTATACATTGGTTCGACGATTTTGTGGCCTATACATGTAGTTAGGTTGTCGTCTGGTTGCTGCTTTCACTTCTCATAGATTACAATTAATTATACAGTAATGGACATAAAATCAGGGACCCGGGATCGATTCCCGACGAGGGCCTCATTCATTGGAGGTTATCTGCAGTGGTAATATAAATTTACATTAATTTACTAGGTAAAATCTTGACATTATTTTTTTCTCATGTTTTTCAATGATAGATATGTACTGTAGTAACTTTTTCGTTTACATACATCTTTTCCATCTTTAACGTTTTTCGTTTATTAGCCAAATATTGCGTGTTGTTTCATTTTAGACAGTGGTCATCCCATTACAATTCGTCAATTAGTTTAAGGGCAAACAAACTAAAATATTGTCAGTATTTAAGGTAAAAGCTATCAGTCCGTTACAGCAGACACACTTCTTTGAATTTGGAATTCAATTAGTTTTTAAAAATATTTTATGGTACACTTAAATGGCGCACCCTTCAAACAAGCACCTCCTTTTTAAAAGCTTTTACAACGAAACAAGTTGGAAAAGAATACCCTGACACGTCCTCTTGCTCTTTCAACCCCTTCGATATCGCCTGCGATTGAAACCTGATTACTCTTTTCAGTGGGGTTTGATCTGTTCGAATCTGGAAAATGCACGTGACACTGAGTTTCCTCCATTACCCTTTTGATGCTTATTTTAGTTTTACTTTTATTTATTTTCATACAGTNCACAGAGCTATTCTATGGTTAGTATTCTGTAATAAACTGTTAATTGAAAAGTTTATTGTAATTACTTCTTTCATAAACAAAGGCAAGGAAATTCCGGTTGGCATGAGCATACCTCTTCTTACTAAGATTCCTAGACATGCTTCGACAATCCGAACCCAAGATTGTGCTGAGTTTTCATATTTTTATCACTCATTTACCTATATCATGAATTTACCTGACTTTATCTTAATCTACACACTAATTGCTCCTATTCTGATCGGTTTTTATCTATACTGACCGAAAATTTATTTACGTACTGATTAAGCTAGTGATCATATAAATTTATATATAGATTACACAATGTTAGCTTTACTATGAACTCTCCTATATTTTCTGTATCTCCCAGAAGTCCTTATGCCATCTTACAGTTCAAGATCATTGAGAGTATGTATACTTACGTTTATAATCTTAAATTACACTTACCCACTAGTACTCATAGTCCCTTGCATCATACTGTACACCAGTTGGGGTTGAAACACCCCCGTGAAAGGTGGTTGATGAGTGTAAGAAGTTGAAGGATTGGAATATTGCCACGTGGGCGAAAACAAGGGGCTTATTAATGGAGAAACAGGTTGAACATTAATTGAAGGGGGACCGTTTGTAATAGGATAAACTTGGGGAGGAAAATATGAAGATGGAATGTCTGCAACAATGGCAGCTTCTTTTATTCCTAGAATGCGATTTCTTGCCTCGTATATATTAGCTGAAATGTAAGCGATTGTTAAGAAACTACGAACATCGACCCAAAAATAGGGAAACCTTACTTGCACACCTTTCAATTCCTTTAATAACACAGCCCATGATATTTTGTTTTGCTTTATGCCTAATATTAATCACCACGTCCAACTGCGACTGAATTTTGGAAATTTGTTCGGGTTCTATTTGCAAATTTGGAGCGTCTTCTGGTAAGTCAAACATTAATACTAAGGGTAAGGAGCCCTAAAATATTTGTTATGTATATTCACATCGTACACAATAGTCATATAAATATCCATCAACAGAACAACTAAATTAATTTTTAATTTAAAATCCAAGTGGGCGTAAGTGGGTATCCGCCGCTAACGAAGTACTTCATACTTAATTTAATATCGATCACAGGACTCTTGGAAGTAGGGAACAAATCAAATTTATATCGAAATGAAATTGGTCAGGTGACCAACTTTTTGGAGAATGGCCAATAGGGAGGAATAATGGGAATCAAAATCAAACTTAATTTTCAGTAAAAGCATTATGAGTGACCAAGAAGTGTGTTTTAGGACGCTTCAACAATTTCTTATCAAAGAAAGCGTTAAACCAAGTGAAGTTAAGAGAAGAATTCAGAATTAGTGTAACAATATATTGCGGCTTTTTAACCAGTTCAGGTATTCGACTTGTGTCTGAACTAAAAGGTGTACAATATCAATCTCAATGAAGAGGGCGATAGACAGAATAAATGGGCGATTTCAATCTCAAATAGATTACTGATTTTTAATAGTATCTCACATCAAACGATACTAAATCGGTCTTTCTTTATTGTATTATTGATAGTCAATTGAACGTAAATAGGAACAAAGTCGACGAATGACGTAAATTCTCATCCAGTGATTTGAAAGGGTTGGGCAATAAACCGACGAGGAGGATCCTAAGGAGGATCCTAGCCAAAAGCTCAAAGTTAGTTAACCGATTATGGCATATCAACTAAATATTTCGTAGAAAGAAAAGAAGCAAGCCAAAATTTGACAACTCCATAGACTGAGAAAGTCACGACGGTTATACCAACCTTTGCACGTTGGGATTCCAGTGTTTACTTTCCGATAACTATTATCAATTACACGTCTAATGTACTCAAATGTCGAAAGAAGTTAAAAAAATGCATTATTAATAAAAACAGTAGATAATAATGAGAAAAGGCTTAGGTCAATAATAACCTTGTTTGCTTAATTAGGACACTTATAGTTGCCCCAGGTTTGTTATTTTATTTCTGCTGCTTTCTAGGTAATGTTTTCTTTTCTTGACTTTTTTCGACGTTTAACTATATTCCTTAAATTTATAATTATTACTTTAAAGAACTTCAACTGTTGTTTATCAAATTATTTACTCAATATAGTCATTATACAGGGTGTTTCTGAAATACATGACAACTTTTAGAAGGTATTAACTAGATGCAATAGGTAAACGGGTAATTTGGTTTCTAAGGTAGCGACACCTATTCATATAGAATAATACTAACTACATAAACAATAATAGCAGTAATTAAAATTGTAATCATAACTAAATCATTGCCCTAAAAAAATGTTATTCGACGAAAAATATATCTTCTGGAATTGAGTTAAATCGTATTATTCAATCAGAATTTTGACATCCCTTTATCCTTATATCCACTGTGATGGAATAATCCACCATGATGACTCGATTATCATGAATACGGCATAGGAAGAACGAGCACAAATAGAACATTTGACAAAATTGGTCTAAATATTTTTCCAAATAAGAAGGCTCTAGTATTTCATAGTTACCGACGTGATGTATGTATAAATACAAATGTGCATGGAAAGTGACAAAATCAATATCTAAGATCTAAAGACTCAAAATCCACGGGAATGAGAATAGAACGTTACGCTAAAATTTCAATAAACTATTTAAGTGCTGATCGATACACAATAATTTCAGTTAGTCTTTTGCTAATACAAATAGATTTGATGGTTTCCCCACACGTTAGGAGGCGACATATAGTATAGTTGAAAACTTAGAAAGCTGAAGTTACCTTTTTGGTTTTGACTGTACAATTTACTTAAAATCTTCCATACTCCGGGAAAAATAGTGATAGAAATTTTGGTCGGGCTATATTCTAATCCGATTAGAGTTCACTTTTCACAAATTACAGACAGTTAGCCAAATTTCATAAAGATTGGTTAAGTAGTTTCGGAGTTTATACCGGGCAAAACTTGTGATACCAGATTTTTATATATATGGACTTCCTTGGATTACTTAATTGTTAGCCATAATTGGAAAAGCTTTTGGCCTAGAAATTTCAATGGTGGGTCATAACAACCATAATAATTCGTTACCTATGGAATAGTAGCGCCTTCTTATTTGGGAAAATATTTGCATATTGGAGTTTGTTCTTGTTGTGTAATTTCCAGATTTCCTATGGAGTAAAAGTAAAAACTAGTAGGAGGTCATTGTGGTTTCCACTTGTAATGAGCATTTCTTTTAATAAAAAACGAATTTATATGTATCTTAGGTGAAAATATTTTAAATATATCCTGTTTCTGATAAAGATAATAATATCGACAGTTAAGTGTTTTATTTTTCCAGTTTATATCGACGTTTTTGACGCCCCCTTAGTGTCCTCAGGAGATTTTCTTGCGGAGAAATTAGATTTAGGGTCGAGAGAATTAATTTGTCAAGCATTTTAGTTTAAAGTTTAAATAATAAATACCAGTTCGCTCTAAAGGTGAGTCATTGGAGTTTCTTTGTTTGTAGCACGGAGATACATTTTTCGGACTTGCAATTGGGCTCGCCACTGAACCTGAGCTTGATATTGAGGAATGGGCTGTATTGTCCTTGTTTGGATCAGTAGAGCAGGAATTCGCCGACAAGTACCTTAAATGTAAGGATTGATTTTTTATTTTATGGTAAAGATGAAAAGGAAATTTCTAATTACACAATTTAACATGTTTTAAAAAGATCATAGCTTCCTCAAGAATTAGTCGTTTTTGAATTTTGTTATAATATCTGAGATGTGGGATA